GTTGGGAACTGGACTAAAAAGAGCATTTTAAACCCTAATCAGTCTGTTAGTGGAGGAGATTCTGTAAATTGTGTGTGAGGAGGTATGAAATCGGCCATTGATAGATGTTATATTACAGTGGTTGTCTAATTATGTTCATGAAGTTCTAGTGTTTGCTGTGACTTGGACTGGACGTAAGGTGAGGTTCCAAGCTTCCTATTTCTGTAGTGAACCACCAGCCTTATCAATTTAAATGCTTATTTATTTTTGAGACAGTGAGTGAGCGAGAAAGAGAGCACACAGGGGAGGGGCAGAGAGAGAGGGAGATACAGAATCTGAAGCAGGCTTAAGCCTCTGAGCTGTCAGCACACAGCCCGTTGTGGGGCTCGACCCCACAAACCATGAGATCATGACCTGAGCCAAAGTGGGATGCTCAACCGACTGAGCCACCCAGGTGCCCCCCCTTTTTTTAAATATTTATTTTTGAGAGAGTTATCAATTTAACATATCAGGGTTCTATGAATTTTTTTCAAAGTTAGCTACCACTGCTAAAAACTTATAAAAATAACAACATAGACTAATATGCAGGACCATGATAAAAATGATTGATTATAAACACAGTGGGACTTTGTGGAAAAAGAATCTCTGTGAGCTGGAGTGGAATTAGGATTACAGTAAATTAAATTATAAATTTATCCCAGACTTGGCCTGCTGCAAAATCCCAGGGATGACATCTATAAGCACCATTATTTTCTTATGACCCTAGTTTCACACAAAGTAGGCACTTTGTAAATATCTATTACCTGAGCTATGGAAGGAAATAAAATCAGATAGGCCTGTGGGACCAGATCACAGATTTTGAAGTAAAAAAATATAGAGATATAGATATAGATTGGATATACATATATAGAGAAAATGAAAACAAAATGTCATCATACAAAGTTTAAGGAAATGGTAGGTGATAAGAACTACAGCAGAAACACAAGCATGAAGACAGAAAACTGATATTTTGATCAATACATAGGATTAAAAAAGCCCTCACTTTAAGGTATTTGATGTTTTGGAGGAAGAGAATTAAAGGGATTAAACATAATTCTTGCCCTCAAAGAGCTTCAGGTGTGTGGAAAAGGTTTAGAAGAGGAGTAGGTTCAAGGAGAAGGATGGAAGAGCAGCTCTGGAACTTCTACCTTGAAGTTTTCTGAAATAAGAATTTAAAAAAGGAAGAGAGCCAAGTCCATATGGCCACAGCCAAGTATGAAATTTAAAAACCTGATCTCTTATGATAGATGTGAGAATAGTGTTATGTTTAAGGAGAGGTGTATGACGGAGCCTTCTAGGGTGCTAGAAATATTTTGATCTCGGTGTTGGGTTTCATGATGTATTAATCTGTATGTTATATAATTTTTAGAAATTGCTATATAGTTTTTAAAAAGTACCCTGTTATGTTTTACACAACTCTTTGGGGATTTAGACTTACAAAATGGATACTCAGACTTACATTCAAGGAGAAATTGTAGGTATAGATGGTAAGTAAATCATTTAAATTTTTATACCATAAAGATCAAGTCATATTTACATTTGCTGGGTCAATGACCTATCACATCACCTTTTTAGTCTTTGAGGTAACTACACTTAGGAAGATGCCCTGTGGTCACAAATGTTTCCATCTTGTGCTTTCCTTTCTCATATTCTCAAATGTCAAATATAAGCTGTTAAAGAGGGAAAAAAACCCCAGCCCCTTGGTATCTGCAGACAACACAATACCCAAGACTTGACACACTACACTACAGCAGGGAGGGCCCTCTGAACCAAGTGTTCCCATTTTGCATCATGCCAACATCATTCAAAAGTTAGTATAGAAAGTTTTTTCTTCTGCTGAGAATACCCTGAGGTATTCTCCAATTTAGGATTACTGAACAATATTTCTTAAATATGTAAGAAAAAAGAAACAATAATCTTCCCTTGTTAAAAAGACCACAATTAATAAAAGCTTATGCAGCATGTTATCACCTTACCATAACAGAATACATGGCAGAAAACAAATCTCTTGGGTTTAAAAATAGCTTTATTTAGCATACCAAAAACACAGAAACATAAGAAAAACCTTACCTAGTATAAACATAAAAATAGTTAAATATCATAATTTAATGTAAACCAAGTGTTTAAAAATGTGAATTATAATAAAACACATGCTATTTACACAGAACCAAGTTAAAGCTACCTCCACAGTTATTCTATCACATCATCAATCTTGAAGTCATCATTAACAATGAATCAAACACAACATTTGTATTTGTACTGGTCAATAAGAAAAAAAGAAATCCTTGAATTTACTTTAAACACATATTATTCATTGTGACATTCCAAGCAGAAAGGCAGAAAGTGCCAGTTCTGGGATCCCATACACAACCACTGACTGCATCAGGGAGGCCTGGAAATCATTCCATTGGAAGACTATGAAGCCCATTCTCTCGTTTAAATGCAAACTGGTTGATTCAACTTAATTACTGCTTAAGAAAGGTACTGAATATATCTGCAAAAATAAACCTTTATTAAAAACAACCAAAGGTGAATGTAATATCAATCATGTAAGAAAGGCAAAAGCATAAAAAATATTATTCCAGACAAGCCACTTTAATTATAACAAATGTTAAGAAACTCAGTTTATAAAACCAGAAGGGGTAGCAAAAAGGGTTTTGAAAAATGTAAAACCCAAATCAAAAGCAAACAAAACGAACTAAGAAATGTTTCTTGAAGAAAGTGGTATTTTGTTATCCTGTCTTTATCACACAAATGCTGCCAGAGATCTGTGGCTGGTATCAGTATCACTACAGAGTAGTGTGTTGTCTTGGACCAACAGGCCAAAAAGCTGTATCAACTGATGAAGCGTTTGGCTTTTGCTTCAAGAATCAATATCCATTCTTACACTGCAATTCAGGTATCATTAAGAGGCAGCATTAAATCCAATATCAAGACTTTAAAATGTAAGATAAAGTTGCAAGTATATACATAGTAATAGAACATCCTGTTCCTTTGTCTGACCCTGTAATTCTAAAACTTTGGGTCTCCAGACCCCTTTATACTCTTTAAAATTTATTAGAGATCGGGATGCCAAAGAGCTTTTGTTTATAGAGTTTATATCCATCAATATTTGCCATATTAGAAAATAAAACTAAAAAAAAACTGTAAGCATTTATTTAAAAATGAAAGTCTATTACATGCTAACATAAATAACATTTTTAAGAAAATACCTATATTTCCTAAAACAGAAAAAAAAGATTTGTGGGAAATGGCATTGTTTTGCATTTTCAACTTCTTTTTGAGAGAGTGAAAAGACAACTAATGCCTGTGTATTATTATGAAAATAGTTTTGATCTCACAGATGTCCTAAAATTCTCTCAAGGGCTCTCAGGGGTTCATGGGCCAGCCACACTTTAAAAACTGCTGGTTTAAGGTAAGGCCTAATGTTAATAATAAAAAAAAAAAAAAAAAAAAGCCCATAAAAAAGGA